GGGGGGGGGGGATGGTAGTGAAGAAACGGGATATCTCTTCTTCCGAAATTTGTAGTATACATTTCTGGAAGGTATGGGTACAATATAGGAATGATCTGAGGCTGGTGCGACCGCCTCCCCTCCTTCCATCTTTATGCCCCTTGCCCACTCTTTCGATGCCACTGCCACTGGGATGGGGGGGAAGGAGGGAAGGAGGGGGGAGGACTCGCCCCTTCTCCGTCCTCCTGTTTCGAGTTCGACGCATATGCTTAGAGGCGTTCTAACTAAGCTGCAACAACGAACAGCACGGCGTGCCATTTTTGGAATTAATGGTTCTAGAGGTTCTAGAATTAAAATGGTTCGCGTTCCATGAACTCACGGGCAGCATGAGAGATTTTCAAGAGAGAGCCTCGTGCTAGGGCTCGTACTGTGCAGGCGCGTTCGGTGGCGTCCTTTTAGAGATTTTATACCCTTGACGTCACAATCAGGGTTATCAGTCGGGAACGACAAATTCTATGGTATGTGTTCGAATCGACGGTGACAAGTTTGATGGCGTTCGATAGAAGATTAGAGTCATCGCGTTCTTAAAACATCACCGTCAATATTGACAACCTGACATTACTCTTATTTCCTTTTATGAAAGCAGAATCAGTCCCAGTTTGGCTAATCTAAGGAAGCCGAACGCACCGACGCTTTTGCTAGCCTACGTGGCCAATAGGAGGTATTCACTGGACGCCATATTTGAGGGCGATGCTTAGAGCGCATGCCCAGAACGAGCTCACATTAATAGCCTGCTAAGCCCGGCAGCCTTGATGGTGCTAAATGCGCGCTCCAAAAGGACTGCGGAAGCTCGCCGTCAGCACGCGCACAGCAGCAGCGCACACGGATATGGCCGCCAGTGAATACTCCCTATAAGGAGTATTCACTGGGCGCCATATTTGTGGGTGCTGTTTAGAGCGCATGCTCAGAACGAGCCCACATTAATAGGCTGTTAAGACCGGCAATCTTAAGGGTGCGGAATGCATGTTACAAAATAACTGTGGAAGCTCGCCATCAGCACGCGCTCAGCAGTCGCGCACACAGCTATGGCCGCCAGTGAATACTTCCTATAGACCTTTGCATCGCTTGTCATCACCTGGACGAAAAATGCTGAGTCACTGAGCCGTGGATGAACGCGCGACGTCTGATATACCGCGCAACGGAGCGACAGCGCATGCTCAGAAGGCGTTCCATGGACCAGCAGACGAAGATGGCAGCGCGCAGAAGACGAGTTTTGCAAAGGTCTATAGTCGTTAATTAAAAAAAAAAAAAGCAGTAAAACGATTTTATCCCGCAGAGGGGGTACAACTGCCTAAAGCTAACGCCCCGTGATGTTTCGAAACTCGCGCAAGGTTCGTTGATGAACGAGGCACGTGTAACGTGCAGCCCTGGGAAGATCATGGCGGCACAGCGCAGCACTGAGCTCGATTTCAGACGCTATGATTTTCCCAGAAGTGGCGCGCGGCACGTGCCTCGAGCATTTCCGCATAAGAACGCCAAAGAATCAATTAGGAAGTTACAATAAACCACGCTCTGGGTTTCTTTCATTGTCAGTGATTATAATTTCGAGAACGCAACATGCACAGACGGACAACGAGCATGACGTATCGAGTGCTCGTCCACTGTGGAAATCGCGTTTTCCAGTCAAACCGCTTTGATTACTTTTGCTTCGCCATTTTCCGGACGCACATCGTAGATTGCAGTATTCAGTCCCCCACTTGTTCTGCAGTGTTGTGGAGGCACATGGGCATTCCAGTTTAGAGCGAGCGTTTTGCGGGTGTATATTGTAACTTACAGTTCGAAACAACGCAGGGCTTAGAGTCCGGATCATCGTATTATCGCCCGGCAGCAAGCGAGATGGCGGTGTTGGTCAAAAAAAAGGGCGAAATATGAAATCACGATGCAAGGAGCGCAAAACATCATAAACTGCTCTCTGCGTTTCTTAAACTATCAACAACTATAAATGAGCGGACATATTTAACACTGATCCATATGTAATATAGTCTTTCCTTACATCGAAACCCAAAAACTAAATTCGGGTTACAGGGATGAGAGCGGGCGATGTTCTGGCATCGGTGGAAACCTCTTGTTCAACGCGGTGTCCATGAAGCTGTTTCCAGCTTCTCCTGCGGCAGCGTCCGTTTTGCCAAGGTCCGTAGTTGAACATCGGCTGTAAAAACACTGGATAAACAGCACAAAAAAAGAAAAAATTAACCCCAAGAACATAACAAGCATTGCAAGCGTAATAAGCGAAAGAAGCTGTGGGATATCTTTATTTGCTAAAAAGAAAAAGGTGACATTCGAAACGTGCAAGCAGACGCCGTGTATTCGTGTCATTTTTGATTCCTGCATTCTCGGGGTTATATTATGCCTGTAATCGTATCAGCTAGTTTGCGCCTTATTCGCTCGGAGGATTTTTTCGGCAGCTGGTTTAGTGACTGGGCATAACATCCACACTCTCCACAAATTGTCCACTTTCTGAAAAAATCTTGCAACCCGTTTTAGTCACCGCTGAAATGTTTCTCTCACGTATGATATATTACGGGGTCGCCCCGTAACCTGCGCCTGTGGTGACATCACGTGACCACCGTCTGCTAAATTTTGCGGACAGGACGTTGTCGCCAAATATAGTGAATCTGCATCGCGCGAAATTTAGCGGGACGTTAGCCCATTAAATTTAGTGGGGAACGTCCCATCTGTGTGGAATATTTATGGCGCTTTTCTGTGTTGGTGTGTTTTCAATATATCATGCCCATAGTGTATTTTACAGCATCTAAGCTAACGCTTTAGAGGCCACCTTAGGGCCCGCCAAAATCGGATTCTTAAGGTATCGCGCTGCGATTTACTACACAGCTTCAAGGAGGCAGTGGAAGTTTACAGTAAAAAAAATAAAGAAATAAACCTACCTCATTCAAAAGAAGAAAAAAAACTGTTCTAGGCAATCTACGCCGCCACTTCGCAGATTGATATTTCCACTATCAAAATAAAGCAAGTTGGAATATTCTGAAATCTTTGTCTCAATTTTATTCACCCAACGATGCTGCAAATAACACGTGAGCTCGTACAGTAATTGAAAGAGTAACAGATGTTACTTCTAGAAGTAATGGCAATTTTATTTTGGAGTTTGGAAATGCGCTCTTCAGTATTCTGTGGCTTTCATGCGTTGCAGACGCGGCCGTGTTTTTTCGTCGTAAATGGCCGGAATAGGTCCATGCCAATTTTTTGGTAAACGCCATTTTTTTCACCGGAGTTCGTGGAATTCTTGTGATGTGTTTGTTGGACACGCTTCGACAAAAACAGCGCTTCGCCAGGGACGAGACGTCAGTTGAATATGCGCAACCTTCTTTCTCGAGTGCGTTTGTTGGGTGCCTGAGTTGGATCATGCATCAATCAAGGATCATATAATCAATGCTCAACTATACACTCCTAATCTGGTTCCACATAGGTTCCACATAAATGAGTGTTCCACATATTTCAACTGGAAGGAGCCTAACTTTTCTGTGGAACGGCGGTAATATGTGGAACGTCGGTTCTTTTCTTTTTATTTTTGCTTCCTTGAAGTGAAACGGGACGTTTTAAGCGGATCTGGAACTCGTTCCACTTATTTTTTCGACTTTCGCCCCAATCTGTTCCACTGAAAACAGCGTATTTGTTCGAAATTATGTTAACTGGTTCCACTTAAAATCGTGTGCTGCTGTGAAATGCGACAAACGGTAATTTTTTTGTGACGTCATATTCTACTTTCTTCCGTGCGCAACTGCCAAGTGACATATAGCTATAAGGACTATTTCGAAGGCACCGCTGAAACACGTGACTGCCATACATGTTATGCCTTATAGCTTTATTCTGTCATAAAATTAAAGATCCAAACCACTTCCTTATTCGCGAAGGCGAATGGATGGTACACGGCAGAGGAATAAAACCGCAGACACAGCTGAGCAAGGCAATATTGAGGGCGGATATATTCAGGAAAAACAAAGCGCCAGAGAATGGAAATCATAAAAGCTTGAACGGCTCCTTTTCACATACGTCAGGTTTTTTTATTTGGCTGTCCTCTATATTTCAATGGGAAACATAAGGGCTCGTGCTAACTATAATTTACTTCCAAAAAGGTTCGGTTTGCGCGAGCACCTGGCACTTCCGCGCACTTGAGGCTAAGTCATTCGGTACAGTACGCCAAACGAGACCAGGTCCACGGATGATGGAGCAACACGAGAAACTGGACCCGACGTATTGGCAAATCCAGATGAGTTGTGGCTATCTGGTGGTTGACACATGACGCATTGAAACGGGGCGCCCAGAGCGCAACGGCAGGCCACGGCGTGTTTACGTCGGTCGCGCAGTTTTTCGACCGAAGGACGGGACAATTTCGCCAGACTACACGGCAGTGGTTTGCACATAGCAGTCCCCAAGGCAGATTGGGGGAGGGGGGGGGGGGGAGTGCAAAGCTAAGCGGTGTCATCGATAATTATTTATCTATTCGGGAACTTTCTGCTCGCCGCACTTTTCATACATCACCTGCTTGCTTCCGGGCGGCGTTTCTGGGCGGAGGCGGAGGTTCTAAATACGTTGAGGAGCGCTGGCGCGCACACCACGCGCGTTCGACGACGGTGAAACTCAGACGAGCGGATGCCGAGGAAAGAAGGATGCGCATTCTCGGAAGCCCAGGCAGGACGGAGAAAAGAATGCAGACGAAAAGAGCAGACGACGTTGACGGCGCGTCGAGGGGCTTGTTCGCTACGCAGGTACGCAGGAGAAACCATGGGATAATTCATGGACGTTGACGAAGGTTTGTTTAAAAAAGAAACTTTTATGCAGTATAAGACGGTGCAAAATGTTTCGTATTTCGACCAGAATCTGCGGAGCGATATCGGCTACATTTGTTTTTAGCTTCAGCTAACAGCCAGCGCCCTATTCTTTATGGCGTGGCGACTGCCGGCCAGGGCTGATAAAGACTACGAGACGCCGCGCCCGGGAAAAAGCGACGGTGATCTAGTTCTAGACTATGTCCGGTACCGGCCTAATTATTTTTTCGGAGTATTCCTCAGAAAAACAAGACTTGGACAAATAATACTGAAGCGTTACCTCGACAAGACGTTTACGCAGCACGAAAGTAAGCATTAACTGCACATATACGTGGCTCTGTTTCGATAAATTCGCACCAAAAAGAAGCTTCCGGATATACATGCCTCGCTCGTGCCTACATTCATTACAATGGGCTCTTGGTTTTTTATCTATTCGCTATGTTCGGCTTTATTTCTTTGAGACGAGTGAGCAATTTTTGTTGAAATATTTAGTCTAATACACAACTGACCTTGCTCTGCCCGTATCGTTATAAAAACACGTGTGCCGGAGCACGTGCAGCAACCTGACCGGCACACAGCCACGGTCTCAAAACCGTCGGGGCAGCGATTTTGGTAGCGCGATTGCGTATCTCTATTGTTGCTGATAATATTCCTATTTTTTCTCATCGCAGCGCCGCCTCGACCGTTTTATCACGCCTAACAATGTATGTTTTAATGGCGCTCGTAGCAACTATAGTTCGATGGCAGTGCTATGCCGCCCTTAAAAAGAAGCCGTCATTAATGAACCATTGTTCAAGATAACCAGTGCGGTCATGAGTAGAATCGCACAGTTGCTGTCAATCCGTAACACGAACGGTAGCGGAAGTAATTGGCGGTTGTACTTCACTATGCTGTTGATCATGCGTGCTTCTGGATATCGCATTTTGACTAGAGGCAGTCTTTTATATGAGTGAGATAGCCAGGACTCCCCTACAGGTGTCGCATGAATCTATACATCGACAGGGGCATGGCTTGTTCTACCGTTCCCAATAACATCTCGGGCATCCTGAGCGGCCGCTGCACTGATTGTGAGTGCGGCGGCTTCAGGCGTACTGTGGAGCTCGTCAGTCACGACAGGGTGCCTCTTGGGTGGTGCATTCTGTGTGGGCACTCCCCTGCTTCACACGGAACCCTGACCGTTACTATACAAGAAATTAAAAATTTCACTATCAATTGTTTATTTCAATTAATCAGTGATGTACCTCTCATGAAGGTGTTAATTCTCTTCAAGCGCAAAACTAGACAAAGTTAACTTTGCTCTTTTTGTTTGATTCTTACTGCTGGATGGAACAAACAGCAAACAGGAAATTCCAAGACACACCAGCACAAAAAACACTGAAAAAGCACTCGTAGAATAATTCAGCTGGTAAACAGGTAGCCATAAAATTAAATTGGATATTTCAAAACCTCGAGAAATCAGAGGAGAGCATCAATTGGGCATTATGTTCGCTGTATTGCTAAGTTAAACCTGGGTCATGGACAATGACCTGTCTATCTTGCAGGGTTAAACTTACCTACTAAGCGTAACACACAAAGTGACATATATTTGCAAATATGAAACATATTTTCACATAGTTCATGTTCTTTCTTGCAGATCGTTGGACGCACCAATCAGAAATAACATCAATGCATGAGGCAGCGTCAACTACATTTTTTGGACCGGTGTGCACACATACGCCAATGGACCCAGCACCAGACACGGAAGTAAGTCACGCAACATGTTTTACTCCTACTGAAGCGGACATGGAGGAAGCTACAACATGCTTGGACATGCCAGATGACCCAGTGCCAGCTCCACCTGCCCCAGTACTGCCGCCAGCAGGATCCAAACTTCAGGTAGTGCACGTATGCAAGCACTTCGACTTCTTAACCAAACACTTCAGCAATTTTGTTGAACATATGAAAGAGGCTCACCGTGGAGTAAAACAGTATTGTTCTCACGCACGTAATGTAACATTTACGAGTTTTAACCGTTACAAGCAGGGTGTCGAACCGGAACCGAACCGAACCGAAAACCGGAACAGAACCGTTATTTTTAGCCGAACCGGAACTGAACCGAACCGAAATCTTCGCCGCCATCTTGGAACTGAACCGGAACTGAACCGGAAAAAAATATAACGGTAACCGGTTCAAAACGGTTCACGGTATTTTTTTTTGTTAGTATTACAAATTTATTATTATTGGCACGTGTATTCCTCTACGTATTGATCAAATCGTCATATACAAAATTGCAATGTATAATAAATCCTGGTTTTTTGCGGCGCTTTCTTATTGGCACTATGATTAGCCATGTGTCACAATGTCACGTGACGTCATGATGTCAAGACATGCTGTCAAGTAATGTCACATCACGTGACCCGTGACGTCACGTGACTCACCGCGTTAAGTCGATTCGAATTGAGGACGTCGCTAGATCTATTAACGTTGTTGATACCGTGACGCCACATGACATCACAACTTCGCACTGAGAGTCACGTGACACCATGATGTACCCGATTGTCATGATCCCGAGTCAAATGCTCTGGTTCATGACAACCAGTATCGCCAAACATTCGGGTAACGCTCGTGTTCAACTCAAAGATTATGATGGGCCCGAGTCCCACTAGAGCTTGAAACAGAAACAAACGAATGCGACAAGCCTCAGACACATGCAGCATGTTCGCGATGGTACCTTTATACGGCTTTGAGTTGTTCGGTGCTCGCGAAGTTAGCACGAGTGTTTACAAGCCTGCAAATGGTACCATCGTGTGCATGATACTCGTGTTTGAGCATAGCCTTCTTTATTCTACAAAGCCTGTCAAATCGCGAAATTCTCTGGTTTAAGGGTAGCCGCTGTCGTTTGTTTCTGTTTGTCGCTTTAGTGGGGCTCGGGCATTATAGCCCAACTAAAGTTATATCTGAAGATTAGCCCATGCTCTCTGCTTTGCCAACCCTGCGTATGACTATGATAAACACTGACGGTGTATATATTAGGATCAGATCACGTGGCTGATAGTTCTAATTGTGAGTTGAGGAGGGGAAAGCTGTTTCATTTCTTTCTTTCGACTGTCTGCCATTTCGTGGAGGGGCAAACTAATGGATGCTTTTGCAAGTTATCAACGTCAAGGATTACAACTTAGCGGTATTTATTGAACTTAAGGTAAAAAAAAAAAAAAGATGCTGCACGACCCATTTTACATGTATGCACACCATTGAGGCTCCCAAACATGTTTTCGTTATTGCTGAACTGCCTCAGAAAGTTGTCCCGAGAATAGAAGTGGTAAAGGGTCTAAATGTGACGTATTAGTCGGACGTTACATGGAACTATAAGCGTGTACGGGAAGGATACCTGAAAACAAAAAGATCCTAGTGGCCTCACGGGGATAGCCGAACGTTGGCAGCCGCTCTAACCGCTCATTCACACTGGAAGCGAATCCGCGTTCGGAAAGCGGTTGCGAACGCGGTTGTATAAAGATCCAGTACAATTGCACGCGCACTCGATGACATCAAGTGCGCGTGCAATTGCACTGGATCTTTATACAACCGCGTTCGCAACCGCTTTGCGAACGCGGATCCGCTTCCAGTGTGAATGAGCGGTAAGTCTCACAGGAGTGTCGCTCTCAAGTTCTCTAAGTTTCGACCGCCCTGTATTTTGTTTAACCTTCACAGTTTGGTGCAAAGTTAAAGCAAGGAAGAATTACTGTTAACAAGTGACACAAATATAATTGTCGAGTGAACACCACTCAATACGGAGCAGGCAATCCCTGAGGAATAAAAAGTATCTTGAGGAGCAACTAAAAAAAAAGGGAGTGGGGAGGGGGGTAGTTTTAAAGCATACTGTGTCGTAAAGATTCCTCTGCCCCACATTTTCGGCGCAGACTAGAAAGCGTGGCCTGGAAACGATAGTGACAGATGGGTAGTTGGTACAACTTTTATTTGTAAAAACACTCTTGCCAGAAAGCACGTTTTCGTCGTGCCAGATACTCGCGCCGTGCCTAACGACGATGTACCAACAAGAAAAATGTGTGCCTCTCAAATACATAGCTTGCACTGAGCGCGAAACTTTTGCAGCGTGCATTTTGCCAAACCGGATTTGATTTTCTCAGCAAGAACAACTCGCAATGACAACCAGTATCTAGTGCGATTACGTCACGTGCAAACCATGTTAAATACTTCAGCTTTCTGGTGAAGTGCGACGTTCGCTACACCAGCAGTAGACGTCCAATATGTAAAGTTGTGTAGTATTTATAGTAGTCTCGCGATGATATACGGCAGCCTAATGAAATGTTGGAGCACATGACTGATAAAGAACAGAGTCATGAAGTAAGGTCTCAAAACAAGTGCACGTAAAACCTAAGATAACAATAGCCTCCCGAGGTAGTATCCCGCGACGTTTCGAGCTGAGGCAAGCTGATGCCCTAAAGTGATTTATATTAGGATTCTAAAAAAATCTTTGTTTGCCCTGCGCGGAATCTATGTTTAATTAGGAATATAATTTTATGCATTTCTATGCATTTCTTTTTGCAGTAAAGCGTTGTGTAAGGGATTATTTAGAAAAAATTGCGTGTCATCTCCCTATTTCTGCACATTTCGTATATTTGCCTTCCGATATATCATGTGACCACAGTGTTTTTTGGCATGCCCTGCAACCCACTATTTTACACTGCAAAACAGCTAACAAAAGCACGTTGCCGAAGACACAACAGCTGGCGTATTTTCGAGTATCGTCCTTCCGTGTCGGTCTCAGGCGGTTATGTGAACTTCATGAAGTCAAATTTATCGATGATAATAAAAATATACTTAATTCCTGTCTGAAGATTTGGCAGCATAAATAGAAGATTCTCACCTCCAAGATATATAAGTAAATGCGCCTTTAAATTATCTGAAAGATGTTCGGCAAATATTTTCGGCGCTTTTATCCTCTATAGACACGTTATAGGTGATTTTGAAAAACTTTAAATAATGTTTTTTTTTTATTATTTTGAAGCTAATTTAAATAACTATATGTGTTCCTCACGCATATATAACTTCTCAAATATATAGAAGTTTATTATCGCGTTTTTTCATGTGTTTTTACTATCGCCTTTTTTTACTGGAACGAATGGTGGAACTATGACGATTGCACACTTAAACTCTCAGAAAGTGTCCAATTAGGTAGCTTCCGAATTGAGTAGAGCATGAAATACCACTTTGTTATATTTAACAAAAATCATCAATTAGCGAGGGTGATGCTTATTTGCGAATTAAATTGACCTGCATTTTGTCAAGAGCAAACCTCAACATCCAGGCTATGCCAGTTTATCCAATATAAGAAAATGTTCACATGGGTAAGCACTGTTTTAGGTCAGATTCGATCTCAGTACTAAGGTGCTCATAGGTTAGAGTGAACAATTTCAGCCACTCCTTTTCGCATGATTCGTCGCCCGCATCATGGTGCTGAGAGCAAACAATATGCTAGTTAGAAAAACAAGCATTGCGATTGTCGCTTAGTGTTCCTATAAAATATAGACTGGAAGGACTTGTCCCGTGACTTTCGTGACATTTTGAAAATTATATTCCCTTAAGCTCAGTCGTCACGTCATCATATATATATTGTGAAACGTATTCCGTAAAACACATTTCATGATATATGTGGCGACGAGGTGCCCATTTCATGATTGTATTCACTGTAATTAATTCCTTAGTTCAAGGGCAAAACCACGATTCAACATCTAATACTGCGATACAAAGTTGTACCAATCACGGGTATTTTAGGCAACCTACTTCACTTCCGAAAACATTTCGATTCAGGTACATTATATGTGACTCTGGTAAACGAAGGGATGTTGAGTCGTATAAACACGACGTTTTGTATGTTAATGTAGATTTTCCTTTCTTGTTGTGTAGGAATAAATAACAGAATTTTATAATTTTGGTACCTGAGAATAAAACTGAATTGAACAAACAATAAAAAACTATATACTGTAAACGACTATTTTTCGTGGGCTCAATATTTCACGATTTAGGTCAAAGCTGAAGTTTTGGAATAATTCGCGGGTTGTAATTTTCTCGACGCGGTGGAATCTCAATATAAATTTCAATCTGTTTACATTTTACCGAAATTGTTCGCGGGACCCATCTTTCGCGAATTGTAGGCGATTCGCGAAATTCTCAAAAATAGGTCCTCGCAAAAATCAGATCGTTTACAGCAGTTAGTTTCACGGCCTAAATAGCGCCTATTGGCAGAACAACGCGGAAAATATATTCTCAATTTAGCGGTTCAAACCGGTTCGAACCGGTTTGAACCGGTTCGAACCGTTATATTTTGCGCCCCGGAACTGAACCGGAACTGAACCGAAAGCCGTGAACCTGAACCCGAACCGAACCAATAAAAATATCGGTTCGACACTCTGGTTACAAGGAGCATTATATTGAGTGCCATAATCCTTCACGAGGTTTTCCTGCACCAGAAGAACATTCTGAAGTCTCCAGTGCACATCAACCAGATGCTGATATGTTTCACAGTGAATCTTCAGCTATCACTGATGAATCAAGGCTTTCTGATTTGAGCAGATTGCTGGAGGGAATGCACAGGAGTGCAAAAAGTGTTGTTGATGCTGTCGTGGAAGCTGTGTCGGGAATGTTTCATGCTAAAGGCCTTATTGACTTCGATGTTTCCAGTTAAGCACCGACAAATCAATAAAGTGTCTCTATGAGCAGAGTTGTATCTATGTCAAGCCTTGCGAGAAGATTCTTTCGAATGGCTCGAAGGCATACTACATACAACTCAGGCCACTGTTACAGAACATTCTCAGCCATCTCGAAGCGGCCAGTTATCTTTAACAGCAGTTTTCTTTCTCTGCTGGTGGTTTTGTCAGAGATTTCTGTGATGGTGTAAGGTGTAAGCCATGCTGTGTTGAAGGACAAGCAAAATGTCCTAGCACAGATGCTCTACTGTGATGATGTAGAACTTGCCAACCCCTTGGGAATGAAAAGAGGCACTTGTGGAAAGTTAACACTGTTTACGTCAAGTTCGCTAACTTTCCTGCTTCCAAGCGGTCACAAACTAATTCAATCTTTCTTCTTGCTGTAAGCATATCAGAGGATTTGAAAACAGTGGAGGCGAAAGCTGAATTATTGCAGTACTTTGTTGTGACTATGAACGAACTGTCATCTGTGGGAATTGCTCTTCAAGTAAAAGAAAAGGAAATCAAGATACATGGGTGCTTGCTTGCCTTTCTGGGTGACAGTCTGGCATGTCACACCATTCCAGGATTCAAGGAGTCTTTTTCTCGAAATGTTCGCCATGCGTGCCGGCGCTGCAATGCTCTCACTTGCAATTTTCCAAAACTTTTTTCGCATAATGAATGTCCTTTGAGGACTGACAGTGAGATTGAGGCACAAGACAGCAGTTTTTAAGAACAAAAAGTGTATTAGAGCGTAAGAATATCTCAACCTCTTCTTGAATTAAGGGGCCTTCTGTTCTGACTCTCACTGCTTCTCATTAACTGAGGACCTGCTCTTTGACCCCATGGATATTCTGCTCGAAAGCATAGTTCAGAAAGATATTTGCACTACCAAATTCACAACCTTCGCAACTTTAACAGCAACTGAACGAGTGCTTAAGCAACTTTCAGTTCCGCTATGTGGTAAGTTCTAGTGATTACCCGCGTTCATTTGATGCTGGACTGACCTTAGTGTCATCAGCAAGTGCGACAGCAGTCCGGATGTTGCATCTCCCACTGATATTGGACAGCATTGCCTCTCTTGAGCATTTAGGACCAACATTTGAATGCTTCGTCATGCTTTGTCAGATAACGCAAATCATACTCTCCCCAGTACTAGCTGTTGGTGCATTGGACGAGCTGGAGTCAATGATCAGCAGGTACCAGAGATTGTATTTAAGTTGTTATGGTGAGAGAGCTTTCATGCCAAAGTTGTATATGCTACTGCACGTTGTGGAACAGATAAAACTGCATGGACCTGGTCACCATCACTGGACCAGGAGATGCAAGGTCGAAAATGCTCTCCCCAAATAAAAAAAACATTCAAATTCAAGAACATCCCCTTTTCAGTGAGCGAGTTCTTCCAAGTAAATATGTCCTATGCTATGTGGCATATTAATGGAGATGCGAAACATGGGTTTCTTGATGCTACCAGTGATGACGCAGGTGGTACACCTTATACCCTAACACATGCATTTGTTCAAGCAGGCCTGCCAGTTTCTGCAGTTGGTTCTGTTTGTTGCTCACTTGAATCTGCAGTAACTGAAACAATGTGTTCCTCTCATTGAACGATACGATGATGATCCAAGCGGTTTCTGGTAAAACTGGTTTTGTAAAGGTCATCACTGTTGTTTGCTATTTGGAAAAAAACTTCTTCGTCTGCAAAGTTATGGGGCTTCAGTGCTATGACCCTAAACGAAACTGCTTCGTTTTGAGGGAAACAAGCTATGAGGTAGTTGTTACTAAAAATAGTTTTTTTTTTGCTTCCGTGGCCGATGTATCTTACCCACGTGAGAGAGACTTGCTGTGCTTGAGCTGATGTTAACACACCTACCCTAGAGTGTAATTTTTTTTACGCTTGTTTAAAAGTTAAACATATAAATGAGGTTCAGCTTAACTTTTAAGCATATTATTCGTTCGCTGACTACCAGCTCTTTTTTGTCTTTTTTTTTTTGCAAAAGATCTTCTTACTTTTGTAAATAAATTTTTGGTGCTGACCATACTGTAGTGCACTGCCGATGTACCTGATTTATTTTCCTACTTGGCATGGTGCCAACTAGTCATTTTGTATTACTTCTAGAGGGAAGTCTAGGAGGGCTTGATAAGTTTGTTTTATATTTTTATGTCTGCGGTTTAAATACCAATAAACTGTGTGTTATTCTGCACCGACTTGTCTTCTTAGCCCAATCATCATAAAATCTGGTTTGTTTTTTACGCCAGACTTTATTCAGCTGACGTTCTTTACAGAGTTTGTATAAATAACGAATGAACGTTTGGAACCGGAACTGTTAACATTACATGCCCTTCGCCTATCGGCTTGCGTGTTTACTGCAATTCCATGCGTAATTCCAAAGGATCTGACATTCTCCTTTTTTATTTCAGCTAGAGTGTGATATTTGTAGATCATTTTAGAATGTCATTATAGACATCATGTAAAACAAACATCTGTAAGAACAATTGTGCAAAGCCTGAGTTTGTGGTGCTGTGGCATTCACTTTTTTTTGTGTACTAGCCGAGAAAATCTGGGACACAGTGAGTCGGTCACAGAGTGGAGTGGTTTTATTTCCCCTTGATTAGTGTTGTTTCCACAAGAAATGGAATAGCAACTGAATACTGTGATTTTTAAATTGATGGCACCTTTTACGGGCTTGCTATTGCTGATAAATTTTATTGTCGTGTTGTTCCAAATTTGCCAAGATAATGTAGTGCAAGACTGGTTCCGGACCCTTCACTTTGATGTATACTGTGGGCTTTATGTTCTGGTCGGGAGTATAATCTAAGTAAATGCCACAGCAGCACGGACTGCGGGGTGTTGGAGTTGTGTTACTCATACAGGCTTTTTGTTGTTTATTTTATGTCTATAACAACATTAAAGAATGGTTTATAATTATGGTGTAAATATCTGGAACAATGCTCCAGGAACAGCTAGGCACTGGTTTACCTGGAACATAGCTCCGGATGCCAATACGTGAAACACAGTTTCCCCTAACATCCTATGAAAAGTATGCGGAACAGCTTTCCAGTTCACACTATGTGGAACCTTGCTCTGCATACCACATGGAATAATTATCTGGAACCATGTTTTATATGTATAAGTAAATAAACATGATATCTGCAGCACCGTTCCGCCTCGCTTAAGAGGAACATTTTTGCAAAAAAGTTCCGCTTATAGCTGTAACCGTAAGTGGAACCAGATTAAGAGTGTACGGCCAGCTGTAATTGTAATTTTAATCAATTACATTTTATAAATAATGTTCACAAGAGTGATGAACGCATCAGAATTGACCCTGCTGAGAGCGGCAGGGGCGCGTCCTCACGGCTCGCAACTACAGGAGTCATAAACTTGCCTGGATGAGAAAACAATTTGAAAACGCCGAAATCGCATTACTTCAACAGAAAAAAAATGATAGGAAATCGTTCAAACAGAAGAACTGCTTCGCAGAGAATCGCAAACACTTGTGGGATCTCTAAACAAAAAGAAAAGAAGTAAACCAAAACAAAATTGCTTAGCATTCTGCATTTATGGCTTTAATCACTGTGGGGAGAGTTATTTACATTAAAAAAAGAAGAAGCATTATTTGTGAACATTATTCGTGACCTTTACACATTTGTCTTGATGCAGAAAAATAAAAAAATCGCCTCGAACAACAAAAATTAGAAAATGCCGCCACGCCTTCATCCTTAATCAAAAATTTCGATATAAAGTGAACCATAAACGCGTAGAGACGCGAACTTGACGCTAGCGCCGGTAAGTCAAAACTCTGAAGTTTTGGTACTTTCTCCTAATTCTGTAATTTCAGTGTCGCTCCGGGATTGAGAAACGTTTATTTCTTTTAAGAACAATATTTGTTTAATGCACGAATATATTTATGGTAGGGTATATTTTTCTCAAATGGACACTGGTTTCCAGAAAACTGGTTTTTCTGGAAATGTTTTGAATATCTATAAAGATGCCGTTACTGGACAATTCTCAAGTCGAGAATTCAATGACACATCTGGCCTGATTTTATTAGCGATACTGTCAGTCAAGAATGCACATATTAAAGTTATAGAGACTCGTCACGATATCATACAACTTTCAAGACACATCCTCTGAGGTCAAAACAACTTTTGAAGATATGAGGAAATTTCCAAACATTTAGTAGAAATCACTGATTAGATAATGCAAAAAGATCCAAACGGCATTTTGTTAAGCGTCTAAAATAATATTAATATTGGCAATTTAGAAAAAATAAACTCGAAATATTATAGCTTATTTCATAATCAGCGTATTTAATTCTGTTTTTTTTCAGGACGACGATTCCCGTGATAGCGTTTCACGTAATAACGTAAAAATGCAACTGGCTCTCCTCATGGTTCTTGTGACCTTTACCTATCTGTCTTGTGGTAAGCATTTACAGTATACGGATGTTTTACTACGTAGCGATATGAGCAATGCTCTAAGAAATTTTGAGTCTACTTTCCCGCAGAGCACATGAAAGATCCAATCACAAACACTGAATGCGACGTTTAATCCTGCTCAGTGTGGCAGCGCAGACTCTATTTTAGGTCTAATTATATTTTTAGCATTGTCTACAGAACCGGGGCCTGATTGGTTCGTTACCAGGAGGAGAACTGCTCGTACATTTATTGCGGCGCGTTATACTCTATACGTATCGATGCTCTTAAGTGATGGTTGTTTGGAAACTGATTCTTCTGCAAGGCCGTTACCTATTGCATCGACTGGGTCTCCTGAGTGCTTTGCGGCGAAAGTAGACGCTCCAGATTTCTTAGAGTAAGCTGTAAGGAGCAGTCCAGGAAAGCTCACTAGTAAGATTGATTATGTTGTACACTGTCAATCAATAACCCTCGGCAAGTATATTTACTAAATATGTATTTTTTAATCCGTGCTTTTGTGATTGTAGATTTTAGTGAAAATGAAACTTTGTTTTAAATTACTTTGTAGAAAATTAAAGATGTGTTGGTTTCTAGAGCACTGAAAATTACTCTTAAAAGTGTTTGGGTTGCAGCTACATTTTACTGTAACTTAAATGTAATTGAGCTACAAACACAGCTGCAACTCTCTAGATGCTCTCGTTATACAGTTACAGTTGCGCGTAGAAATACTTCTGCTACATTTTAGTTACTTGTAAAATATAGTGTATATATGTAACGACGCTATATTTGCTTGAGGATTGTTGACCTACCTCTTAGTTTCCAGGGAAGGATAAATAGCAGTTAACTAAGACAAAAAATAATGTTTAGGTCAGCTGCTATATTGCTTGAAGGGGCTGTGCAACAATTTTCAGACTTTGGCCAATTAACTGCGGAAACTAATCTGCGTCACCTATGGAACGAAAAGCAGAAAACCGTATTTTCTGGCGAACCCTAGTTCTTATTTTTTTTTTTAAATTAAACAAATCGAAGGTAAAAGTGCCTGTCTACCCTCCACGTCGACGTTCGAGTGACGTACTCTGGGGGTTCACGTAGTTTCCCCATGTGTCCTCTCTTCAGAGACCAGCCGCTTCCTCCGCGATTGTCGACTTCAAAGGATTAGCCTCCTCGAAGGTGGCGGCGAGCGATCGACACAAAGGACGGTCCGCCACCGGGCTGACGGCGAATGTAGCAGCGGGGGGAGACAGGTTTTGTTGACTTCCGCGTATCCCCCAGAGACGGTGTCATTTTAGTTCCCATAACCCCGACAGGCGGCTGCAGACTGGCTAATACTTCGTTTTAGAGCGCAGCTCTTAGGCGTCCGTTTCCGGCTTGAGCAGCGTCGCCGTCGGCGTAACCAAGGTCACCACAAGGTCACGTGACCCCCAGGCCAGGTCACGTGACCTCCCAAGGTCACGTGACACCTCCCAAGGTTACCCAAGGTCACGTGACCCCTCCCAAGATCACGTGACCCCAAAGTCACTTGACCCCCGAGGTCACGTGGCCCCTTCCCCAAGGTCAGGTGACCCCCTCCCCCCGAGGTCAGGTGACCCCACCGGAGCAGATTAAAGAATGAGGGGAGGAGGAGGAGGAGAAGGAGGAGGAGGAGGAGGGGTCTACCCTCCCCTCAATACCCTTCCCTCCTCCTCCTCAAGAGCTGCGCTCCCATTTGGCTTTCACTTTTTTTGGTTTGCGATTATGCAGCAGAATAGCAGTTTGTCGGGGAAAGGTGACGCGTTCTTGGTCACTTGGGCTTGCATAAACAATGTAAAAAATGCAAACTGCCAATTATTGCAACATGAAAATAATTGCACTGCCCCTTTAAGCGAAATTGCATTCTAGCAAATTTTACTCAGATATCGTCAATGTGTGATGCGCGGCGTAGGACATATTTATTTATTTATTTATTTATTTATTTATTCATTTTCAATACCCTACAGCGCCCGTAAGGGTGCTGTAGGGTATCTAAAGGTTAGCAGAGTTGGGCATCTGCCAAGCTCCTGTTTCGCCAGCCACCTGCCAAACGATTGCACGTGTTGACACAATTAGTCACCCCACACGACGCTCCGCCGCAGCACCCTGTGCATTCTTCAGCGTGTCGTCGCAAGAAGAAAGACGTAGAAGGGTCCAGAAATGACGCTTTGTAAAGACGCGGCGACACATACCGGGAAGGCAGATATTAAACGTGAGCGTCGGCCGCTTTTACATAAAATACAACACGGCGTATGGCGGTTTTATCGATATATCTAAATACAAATTAAAACACCTATTTTTTGTCATATGACAGAAGTATAAGAATGTATAATACGCGAGCTTAAGCCTTGGCTTCGTTGGAATGTCTTAGAAAGGTGTTTCGCAATAGTCAAGTTAAAGGCTCTTTACGTCACTGAGGAAATTCGTCGGCGACACCAACACAGCATCTTCCCCAAGAAAATTGGTCACCTCGGTGGTCGTTCGTTGTGTTGCCTCGCATTCTTGTTATATTTTGCGAACAGCAGCACAATATTGATGACAGTGACGAGCTTTTTTTGTCTGACAATTTTTTTGTCGACTAAAACGAGAAGTAAACTGTACCGGAGGACACGTGTTGCCCGGATCGGTGGCTGTGCGAAGTTTGGGCCAGAAGAATACCAGCATTTATAGCTTGGTTTAAAGTGTGTCCTGCTAGTAGATTTTTTTTTTTGCCTCTGAATTTACCTAAATAAAAACTTGGCCAACAATATTTAACGGTAATCAAAGCTTATGTGCGGTCGAAATATTTTGGTCTTTTACACGTAAATTTGGAAGACGAAACTCGTGCATTTTTCACTAGGACACTAACTAGTGATCAAAATATAATTTTGACAGTGATTGGATCACGTCATTCCTAAAGAGAAAAATAAAATTCCTAGTCACTTATTAAAAAAACATAGTTACAAAAAAAAAAGCAAACCAACTTGCGATGCCAGCTTATTTATGACAGGAGCATGACCACATTTGACCATCAGTTCCGAGACCTAAAAATAATGGCTTGTGAATAACAAAGAAGGCAAGAAAGGCAATCATCAAATAACTTCGAAGATTAGCCTCATTGGTAGCTTAGCCACGTGTTACTGTATAAACGCCGAGTTTAAATATTGAGATAGAAACATTATTGTTGTGTAAGGCTGGTGCAAATTTTAGGCGATGAAGAAGCCCAAATATCTGAGTTAAGAAATATAACAGACTGAGTTAACCTAGTGTAAACAAAAACTGATATATCTATCGGATGCTTTTATGAACTTGAGGTGTCGTTCATCAGAAGAAATGACGTTTTCAAGATGTATAGGAGCGTATTCAACCCCTCTAGACTTTACTACGAAGTGGTTCCTCAGAAAGGTTGCCTTGTACCTTTTGCACACATTGCCATAGTGGCTTGTGATGAAAAGAAATGCAAATAAATAACCTATTTGTTTATTCTTGATTCTCCTACATTTAAATAAACCTTACAATACACTCGTTTCAGAGGTACAATCTGTACTTAGCTGGTATGTTGATAGAGGTATGGGACACATGTCAGCAGATTGCAAAACAACACTTATATATCAAATGCAGAAGAAATGCACGGATCAAGCCAGAGGGGTCACGGTGAGTAGTCTACCAAGCTAAAAATATATAATAATTACTTTCAGCATTACTAATAATAATTGCGCTGGAAAAAGTCCACTGGGACCCAACTTGTCCTTCTCCATCGAAATTTGAACAGAAGTCGATTGAAGCGTCAACTTTTTTGCATAATGCGGCGCTTGTCCGCAAGAGAAGCTGAGAGAGAGCCCGCAACATGCAAACAGATGGGGGAGCATCAATTAACTGGTCACAAAACTGGGGAGGAGAAATTGTCCAGATCCCGCGTGCCGTTCGTTAACTACCTACGCTGGCGAACTAACCGCATCTATTGAGGTTGGTTACATATCAGTAGAATCTTTAATGTAGAAAACCAATATATGATGTTTTATGCAATAAATTAACCATAGAAACATATGAAGCTCTACAGTTAAAAATACTCTGTCGCCCTGTAAATTTTTGTTGAGAATTTGTTTTTATATATAAGAATAAGCGAATATTTAAAATTGATACGGCGGTCACGTTTCCAAGTGAAAACTGAATTATTTAGCAGAACTGAACTAGTCTAGCTGCCAAAGTAATGTATCCTGCATTGATTTCTAGGTTACTACATGCCGCAGAATATATATTTCTGAATAGTCATTAAACACAGACAGTATAGACAGAAGTTTGCGAAGTTTTCTGGAAGGTATTTAATTTAGGTTCGGGAGCTTGTGCGTGTTTTGTTTAACGTTATTATTTCCCCCCCTCCCCCCCCCCCCCCCCCCCCCCCCCCCTCTTTCGAGATAGAAAAAATAAGCAACAAAGGAATAAATGAATGAATAAATTAATAAGATTATTTGAGCGTGATATTGCGAAGAAACGAGAGCGTGGCTGTAAAAAAGGTTACTGAGCAGGTCATAATGCCAAGCGCGTCTCTCATCAACCGCGTCCATGGCCAATTTGTTGATTCCTTGTTCGGCTGCCGAGCAGTGTGGCCGCACGCATGGCGAGCTCCGATCGAGCTTTGATGACGGCCGTCTACGGCCGTGGTGACATGGATTTTCGCCCACCCGTGGTCTATCAAATTCTGCTTTCGACGCTGCCGGTTTTTCAGTTTTAACCGAACTTTGATACGGAACCCAAGCTATGAGGTTCAAATGTATTCACAGTATTTTGCTCAATATTTTGCGAAACGCCTTTTTCTTCAGCTTCATTCATTCCACGGCTGCAAGTTTGTTTGTAAAAGAAGTGATGTAATCGCTGCTGTCGGAATCGCACAAACATGGACAATAAATTTGAAGAACGGCATTCCTTGCGGATCACTGGGTGAGGTAAGTGTCGTCAGAGCTCCTGGGAATCAAAGTCCCAGCAACTAAGAAACCCGTGCGAATTCGGGTTTATTAATTAAACTACTTATGAAGGACCTGAATTCATTCGAAGAAAAAAGATACGTTTTGCGTACGAGTGATCAACCGCTTCCATGCCTTGTGTTGGTACATGCGGGATTGAATGACGTCCAAGGCAGAAGGGGAAGGGACTTGTCCACAAACATCGAGGAGGGTGTGAAGCAGTTGAGGATCATAACCTTTGTGATGGTGCACATTGTAATGGACACCGCCTCGGAGGCCGGGGGCCGAGCAGTAGGTACAGAGAAGACAACCCAGGAGGCTAACAGGACAATCAGGAGGCTGAGCTCTCAGAACGGATATGAGGTCATGAGTGTAAACGACAATACTGCATTAAACAAGTCCCATGAATCTTCGGCTATCATCGGACTATGAATGAAAGTGCGCCTTGCTTATTTAGACGGTAGGAAGTGTAGTTATTACAAAATGTTAGTAGAGCATTTTCAAGCTTTAATAACGTTACAGGTTTTGGCCACCATGTGCTTTCTCGCGCTACGTTACCTTATTTTGTAATATGATCCCCCATACGCTCCACGATACGCACGTGCTCTGCTTCAGATAAACCCGAAAATCCCCTTTATATAAACTACAAAGTGTATCATCATCATTTCTACAAGTACGATCATATTGTGATGCCATATCATGTGTTCCGAAAACGATCAGATAAGCTCAAATATTTAATAACATACTGCAAATCCCGAGCCATATTATCACTTTTTTATGCTTTCTTTTTTATAGACATGCCAGCAGGGAGAATGCGAAGCCATCGACACATGTGAAACTTTCTTCGTCTAGAAAACTGCTGGAAAGAACACATCAGAAATCTGCAAAATGCAAACCGATGCCGTTAACGACGTCTGTATAACACGAGAACGCCGACGAGAGAGCGCGCGGCACGAGAGCACAGCTACACGAGAGCGCATGTGCACGGCGCAGGAACTTTTTGAGGATGGCTCATAGATCATGCAAACGAGAGCCTGGAAACACGAGTCATCGCAACATCCGTGGTTCGAATGCCGCCTGTCCAAGTTTTCTCGTTGAACTCATTGCCGCGCGCCATTCGAAGCGCGGATTTCGCGGTGACTCTCGTTCGAATCTGTGGGCAGACCGTCTTTTGTACGATGTCTAAGCAGCGTCACACCGGCTTAAGGCGGCATTATTTGATAAGAAAGGCAACATTGAAGGCTTCGTGTTCTTCAGGCTGAATGGCATTCTTAAAACAATTTTGTGCGTTTTTTGTTTGTTTGTTGTTTTTTAATATTGGGTATGTAAAATGATGGGTATCATGACCTCTTGTATATTCAAAATAAAAACTCGTTTTTTACCACTCAAAATTAATTTTTCGGGACTTGCTGCCGATTCCAAGTTTGACTTAAAAGTTCCCGTGAAGTAACCCCAGGCTATGCGCATCACCAGCCTTCAAACCCAACTACAAACAAATAGCCGAATTTGGGTATTACTGAACTACTGCTCAAAAAGGATTCCGCACGAAATGGTCCAGGACAGAATTGCGCACCGTGATTAATCTTAGAGCCTACGGTTGGATTCTGCCATCTTTACAACGCGTTGCACCATTACGTCCTGCAAATGGCTGCTGTCGTCAGTTAAAAAAAAACAAAAAAACAGACATTGATCCTGATGTTACAATTTTCCCCTTCGGCCCCGATACCGCTCTCTTGACTCGCGCTCTCGCGTCGTGGCGCTTTCGTTTCGTGCGCTCTCGAGGCGCCAGAGACTATCCATGCTGCTTGAAGCTGAGCCTGGCGTAATACTAGCCACGTTTCAAATATAAGAGCTAATATGGCATATTGCTTTTCATCGATGTCAGACAAGTCTGAAATAAACAATTGGAAGACCGACTTTTGCTCGTTCCTTTTATTTGTACAGTGCAGTCCACTTATGATTCCCATGAAGACTTCCAGTATTGAACTACCGATCCCAATATAAGAAACAATTATTGCATAACGGTGGTCAGCACATTTGAAGGATCACCGCGGCTTACTCGAATTGTTTTTATTGATGCAGTGAGCTAATAAACATCCCAAACGGTTTTAGAATACAGGCCTGTCTACTTGCACACAATACACTCAGTGCGCCGATCAGTGTGATAGCCCCCACCTAATAATGGGGGAGGGGGAGGTCTTGCTTTATATATGATAAATGTCAAGTTCGCCTCAAATACTTGGCGCTGTCCTCACTAATCATGAGAAGGTAGAGGGTTAGAGCGGAGACGAGTCGCCCCGAAGTCGAAGGTAAGTGTGGAATGGCAGCTCTCAAAAGAACGGTCGCCATGACCAACGTCACTATAGCTGGTGACAGGTTACGGCAAGGTAGGGAGAAGGACGATGCCCAGGCTCATTTAATAAAACTAAGGATGACTTGCAAAACCTTGAGTAATTCCGTTCTAAACAATTGCAATATTTTCTACGTTTTTTTTGTTTTTTTTACCTAATTTTTGTTTCGCAATGACTGACAAATCTACTTACTGTTAAATAAGTTGTACAACTTTTCAAAGACCTACGGAAAGTGCCCTTGTCTTTGTTTTATTTAGATGTTCAGTCAGTTCGAAGAAAGTTTTATGAACGTAGCATCCTTTTTGACAGTTTCCTATTTTTGATGTTATAACGCTAACCTAAACGTGGCATAGTCCGACTGATGAAGTGAATAGAAGAAATAATTATGCAGCATTTAATTTAAATTGAAATAATAAACTAGGAGGAGGGGTATGTATTTATGTCAAAAGATGTCTTGAACTGTATCATTAGAGAATTTACAGCAACAAGTGACTACGGGGTCATAATTGTGTACTACAATAAGTCCGTATTTTCGCCCGTTTTTCGATCGCAAAGTAGGAATGTTTTGAACTTCCTTGATTTCCTTAAAGATTTTTTAGATTTTTTTGCGAAAATAAATTGACTCTTTATCTAGGTGGTGACTTCAATATAGACATGCTTACACTCTATGATTATCAGCTTTAGTTCGGGTCGATGTAGCAGTCATGTGGATTGTTTAACGTTATTTTACAGCCTACGCGTCCGTGCCGAAACGTTGCTCAATTTATATTTTAACAAATGTTCCCCACAGCAGAGAGAGTCGCTGGCGTGGTTGAGATAATCATTAGCAGCCTCATACCAATCTTCATATTAACCGATCTAGATTTCTACCTTAAAAAATTTTGTGCTGCTCAAATGCGCTTCAGAAACATTATCACTGAAAATCTGCAACTTTTTTTTAACTTAAATTTTGAGAACTAGAGTGCGGTGATGTCCAGTGTATCGGCGAGAGAAGCATTTGATTATTTTCTTGATAAGTTTACCATGATATACGAATGTTGCTTTCCTTACCAAAGGCAAACTATTTCCAGCAAGCAGGGCTGGGCGTCGATTAAAAATTTTAACCCGATTAATCGCTACCCTTTAATCGATTAATTAATCGATTAATCGGTTGACTTTAGTAAAAAGCAAAAGTAGACATTTTGTCCTTACAATTTGTTTTATTGTATGATAAACGGCGCATATATACAAACTTAATTGAGAATAAACGTTGATGTAACGCACTCACAGATCACAACCCCAGCTGCGGAGGCAAAGAAGTTTGTTGACATTTTCCGGCAGGAGCGAGTTTCTTTGTTTGTTGACGATCATCCCTGCTGCGCTGAACAAACGCTCGCAGGGCGTTGAGGTGACTGGGACACACATCACACTCTTCACAATTGGCACAATTTGAGGAAACAGGGAGCCCTGAGCTCGCCACCACTGTAAGGGGTCCAGTTCATCGTCCGTCAGCTCGGCCATCGATCGATAAAGCGACACTTGGCAGGAGATGGTGGGCTCTTCGTTTTCCTCCGAGAAAACGTATTTTCTTTTTTTCTTGGGCGTTAGATCAGTAGAATCGTCCGAAGACGCATGTGTTAGCTGGGAAAGCCTTTCCCACACAAGTTCGCGGCGATCTTTTTCGATGCATGCGAGGCTCTTGAAACGAGGATCGAGACACGTTGCCAGTTCATAGTCGTTGTATTGCGGCCACGCGCGAAGCCTCTCATCGATATAGTCCACCAGCATGGCCTTGAAGCGGCAGATGAAGGCAGGGTCACAGTCATTCGTCTTCATTTTATTCTTTAGCAGTTTTAAGGCTGGAATAAGTACAGACCGAGTAACGTACTTGTCCCCTCCAAGGAGCTCAGTAATGTCGAGCAGGGGCTTCAAAACTTCCCGAAGTTGCTCCAACATGTCCCAATCGACGTCTGTGAGGTGGGGAATCGACGATTTAATGGTACTGCTGTCCTCCATGGAGCGGCGCAAAGGCTCCTTCAGTTCAAGCAGGCTGGTTATCATTATGTACGTGCTGTTCCACCGTGTTGCGATGTCCTGCTGAAGCTTCTTCTTAGGTGCTCCGAGTTCAGCGGCATGTTTTGAAAGGACGGCCTGGTTGTTCGAACTGTGCTTAAAGTGACCCACAGTACGACGACAGGCGGCTAGCAGTCGCTCCACACCCGTCACGCTGAGCGCCTTGTGGACGCACAGCTGAAGCGTGTGAGCTGCGCACTTCAGACTCTGAAAGTTTGCTCTCTCCACCCCAAGACAGATGTTGCGGTCGCTATCGGTACAGACAGCTTTTACCTTTTCAACGATTCCCCAATCTGTAGCAGTCTCCAATACCTCACTGGCACATTGTTCCGCTGTATGGCGCTCAGGTACGTTTCTCACCTGCAATGTTGCCGATCGAAGCATCCAGTCGTCGTCGATCCAATGCGCCGTTATCCCGAGGTAGGCGTCATTGGCGATGGAGGTCCAGAAGTCCGCTGTTAAGCTGATGAAGCTGGCTGCCGAGAGTTCTGCTTGAAGACGCTCCCGTCTCGAGGTATACAGGGCATCCACCTTGGCACTCACTGCAGGACGGGACGGCGGCTGGTAAGACGGAGAATCCAAGGCAATCTGAAGAACTTTCGCTAGTCCGTGATCTTCCACAATGTTGAGAGGCCGGCTAGAAGAAACAAGCCAAGATGTAAGGGCTTGTGCAATAGTTTCTTCTTTCTTCAGAGAAACCGGCCTCGAAGAGAAAACGTCGATAGTCTGCTTTTTTTCAGATGATTCTTGTTGCAGCGAGATGCTTGGGTGCTTAGCTCTGAGATGGTATTGAAGCGAGCTTACACTTCCGCTATATGCGAAAGCTTTTTTGCAGATGAGGCAGTGAACTTTCTTTAAGTCAAAAGCTTCGCCCGCGGAGTTTACTTTAAACCCGAATTTCCCTGAAAGGTTGCCCTTCATATTCCTGTATTCGTCCATGCCTGCGCAGGGTGTTGTGATGAGATACTTCTCAAACAAGTGACTGCGGCGCGACATGAAGGGAAGAGGAAAGACGGGGGCAAGGGAGACGGGGATAATTGGGGAGCGTCGATCCGTCGAGGACGTCCCTGAAGGTGTTATAGGAGTAGTACATGAAGGACAAAAACAGGATGAAACATCTTCGTCGTTCATGTAACTTTACCCGCACGCTCTAATTCCACGACGTCCTTGAAGCTTTCAACAAACAGAAAATCCCCGGCGAAGGAAAGGCCCCTTTTTACGGGGAAAAGGGAAACGAGCCCATCCGGCTGCGCGCGGCGCCAACTCGTCAAAGACGACGAGAGAACGGGGGAACATCTGGAAGCACTTTGCTACGGGCAGTGCAGGTCCGCCAAGGTCGTTGCGTCAAGAGGCAAAAGCGACGCCGAGAGAGAAATTCCAACCACACAAATAAAACACAGGGTCGAATACTGAAGCAAGCCACGACCACGGCCGGCTTTGCACCACGCTGAACGAGCGGAGAGACGAGCGAGGTCACGTTGTAGCGACCGCAAGGATGGAGCATAACCCACAATGGGGATCAAGGCAGCCTTCGGAAGAGCTCTAGCTTTGACGCTGCAAACCCGTAAGCCAACATGCTTGCGTGCCTTCAAAAAAAAAAAAAAAAAAAGCTGCTGCGTGTGCTCAAAAAGAGCGCGTAGCTATAACGTCCAAATTCATGACCGAGGTCACCTGACTTCCGTAAAGCCTGCTTTCATTCTGCTTCTGCTTTCGCTTTTTTCTTCCAATCCCGCGTGACTCACGACGAATGATTTGTTTGTTGGGTTTTACCTACGAGGTGAACAAGGAGCAAGTTTGTATGTTCATTTTAGAGGGAACGGCAGCAGTAGAAAGGAAAAATAACGTATATTTATTTACTTTTGTTCGCCTCATTTTAACCGATTAACTGGTTAAAAAAAATGATCGCGATTAAAGCATTAATCGATTAATCGGAAGGTTAATCGATCAATCGCCCAGCCCTAATTTTTAACCATATCACCACCACCTTCTTCCTCTGGGCCTTGGAAGAAGGAACGATCTTTTCAAATTAAGTTGTTGCAGACCTGTTTCTTTGACCCGCGGAAAAACACTACGGTGCTGAGAGAAACGACTAACATATCCCGTTTTCATTAGCATTACGATACTTGGCCGATCCCATCCTTAGCTGAAGTTCAACGCTTACAACAACAACCATCCTCAGTTGCTCTCCTAGACTCCAAGCCACCATAACAAAAACAGGCGGTATTGCAGACATTCCGTGAAACTGTTGAGACAACCATCAAGTGTCGCATTTATCTG